TTTTGTTTGTTTGTATATTTGTGTTCATTATTTAGTTTGTTGTGTTGATGAAGACTGGTAGAGACTATGAAAAAAAAAAAAAAGAGGGTCTAATCGTGGTTCCTCATTCCAGAAAGAAGCTTAGAGGAGACATTTTTTGTTGTTGTTGTTAGGCCTAAATTATAGAATGAGTTGCCTATTCACGTTAGACAAGCTGACTCTTCTTGCGTTTAAATCACTTCTTATAACAAATTTGTTTTCTTTGGCTTTAACTAGAGCAGTTTTGAGGTATTTTACTGCTCAGTAATTGTTGTATGTAAATATTTCTCAATGTTTTACACATATATTTTTATCTCTGTGTACAGCGCTTTGGTCAACTTTATTGTTTCTAACAGCGCTCTGTAAATAAACGGGATTTGGGTTTGGATTTCTCATGAGAATCCATCTTACTGTGCAGGATTTGTAATGTTTGACCTGAAATCAGTCTGAGTTAAGCCAAATATTCGGAATTCAAGTCGTAACTCTTGTGGATACTCTGGCTTTTTGCAGTGTACAAATAAAGCTGGAGTTGCGTTTTGATTTTTTTCATTAAATATTGAATCGTTTGTGAAGAAATGTGAAAAAATAAGACATGAATCCGTGTGTCATTCGTTCATTTGTTTTTCAAAATAAAACCAAAAATAAGAAAACGAAAAAACAACTATTTTCTTCATTATTTGTCTCCAAAACCAAAGTTAAAAAAAAACAGATAATGATTCGTTTTTACAGTTTTCAATTTTGTGTTTAAATGAAAAATGGAAAAAAACGAAAATAACGATCGTTTTCCGTTTACGTGACTTAAACTGCGATGCCGGACTGAACCAGGACTAAACCATTTTCTGTCCTAGTCTGGTCCCAGTCTCAGTCCTGGTCCCAGTCCTGGTCTGGTCCCGGTCTCGGTCCCCATCTCGGTCTCAATCCTGGTCTCAATTCTGGTCTCAGTCCCGGTCTCAGTCCTGGTCTTGGTCCCAGCCTCAGTCCTTGGTCCCAGTCTAAGTCCTGGTCTCAGTCCCCGTCTGGTCCTGGACCTGGTTTAGTCCAGGCTCAGTCCAGGTTTAGTCCTGGTTTAATTCTAGTTCAGTCCTGGTTCAGTCCTGGTTTAGTCCTGGTTTAGTCCTGGATTAGTCCTGATGCAGTCCAGGTTCAATTCTGGTTTGGTCCTGGTTTAGTCCAGGCTCAGTCCAGGTTTAGTCCTGGTTTAATTCTGGTTCAGTCCTGGTTCAGACCTGGTTTAGTCCTGGTTTAATTCTGGTTCAGTCCTGGTTCCGTCCTGGTTTAGTCCCGGTTTAGTTCAGTTTCAGTCCCGATTTAGTCCTGGGTCAATCCGACATTGCAGTCACGGAAGTCACGTAAAGAGGAAACAGTCGTTATCAGTTTTTTCCATTTTTCATTTAAACACAAAATCGAAAACCGAAAAAAACAAATCATTATCTGTGTTTTTCAGTTTGGTTTTGGAGACAAATAATGAAGAAAATAGTTGTTTTTTCGTTTTCTTATTTTTGGTTTATAATGAAAATTGAATGATACACGGATTGACATGTATTCCAACTTTTGAAGCAGGTGAAGCAAATTCTACACAGCGTAACATCCTGAAAACAAAATAATGTAATTCAGGAGGCTCAGTTTTGGTCTCTGTATCAAATATTCCAACAAGTACAAACATCTTTTCCAGCCAAAACTGCTCCGAATCGGTTATTATAACTCCTGTAGCTCCAGCTTATTTTCGCAGTGTACAGCTGGGAACGACGAGCCATTAGTATCTGAATATCTGTCCAAGTATTTCCTAAATTTACTGTATATGATTTAACGCAGCCCTGTCCTCCATAAAGTGTTGCTGAATGAAGGCAGGAGGCACCTCGCTGCCAAAGGGACCGAGCCAAATGTGAAATCCAAATGAAATGAGGTGTTTTGGGAGTTGTTTTTTTACAGTTTAAGAGATTATACGGACACGTCTGTAGATCATAACGTTCGCTTTTTTTGTTCGGATGCGAAAACTGTAAAAATGAAAAAATAAAAAAATAAAAGAGGATGGCTGAGAAGACTTAAAGATGCACTGTGTAATTTTTCAGGTGGAGGATTCGTCAAATTCTTTTCTCCATGAAGATGAATTACCGGTAATCAGTATTTATAGAAAAGTAAGGTAAAAAATGTTTAATTCTATTCATATTTGTATGAATACCGTATTTTTAGGGACTATAAGGCGCACGTAAAATCCTTTAATTTTCTCAAAAATCGACAGTGCGCCTTATGTATTAATTCTGGTTGTGCTTACTGAGCTCGAACTGATTTTTTTTGTGGTAAACAGTGCTCAAAAATCTGTCAAAATGTTTTAGTACGACTTTGGTAAACTATAAAGCCGCACCGCTTGATGGATTGTCGGAGCATTATGGCTACTGTCGTCAGAAGCCTCGTGGAGTAAACGGCGAAATATAGTTTTGCGTTGACTCAACACACACTGCCATCATCGCCTTCTTCACAGAAAGAACTCTCATATTCCACTGAGTCGTGTCCTTTAGTCCGACAGAAGCTGATAAGGAGCAGCACAAGGAGCAAGCTGTTTTTTTCAGAGCTTATAGTTTATGCAAATGAGCCATGTGGTTTTAAGTTTAGTTTCTGTAAAACGCAAACAAATGTGCGCAAAGATGCATTAAACACATTATTACTCAATGTAGATTTGAGTCCTCCTTGTAGGAAATAAAAATCCAAACTAAGAATAATAAATAAAACACATTCAACAAAACGGGGAGGCAATGTCAGGCAAATTACGCCACGATCTGCCAATGGATCGTGGACGCCTGGACTAAGGGATCAGTCTCAAGTGTCGTCCGAGCTTTCACGAAGTCTAGAATCATCAGCGAACAGCGAAATAACAGAGACGAGATTGACTCGGATAATGACGAGAGGGATCCTGAAATCGAAATGATGCCCAACGGTTAAACTCAGACGCTGAAGATGAAGAATTTGATGGAAAAAAGTGAGTGTCTGTGTTACAACTGAACAATATTGAGAGTTATTCTGAATGAGTTGAATAAAGTTTGATTTATCTGACTGTTTTGTTTCACTTAATGCGCCTTATAATCCAGTGCGCCTTATGTATGAAAATAGACGAGAGAATTCAACATTATTGATATTGCGCCTTATTTTTTTTTAAGTGTTCCTAACCGCACTAATCAAGACCAAAACCTGTCCAAGTCTACAGGGTCCCGAGACCAGGTCAAGACCAAGACCTCTGAGAGTTAAGATCGAGACAAGACCGAGACTTTTAAAGACCGAGACAAGACCGAGACTTTTAAATGCCGAGACCGAGACAAGACCAAGACTTTTAAAGGGCAAGATCGAGACTTTTAAACCAAATTGACCAAAACTGAGGTTATCTTTGCAATTTTCGACATTTATTTTTCAACATTTATTTGTATTTTATGAATCTATCTCCATTTTATCAGTTGTTGAGTGTCAGACCTTGAGACTGACACAAGACCGAGTCCAAGCGCCTTCAAGACCGCAAAAAAAAAAAAAAGGTCTTGAGGCTGGTGTCGAGACCGGGACAGGTCTCGAGGACTACAACAGAACTTTTTACTATAGTGTTTTCGCTAAAATAGGCTGAAGTACATCTGTCGACATTTGCTTTTGGGGCTTCGTCTTTCAAAGTTCTTCGTCTAATCCTTTGCGTAATCAGTATTTATAGAAAAGTAAGATAAAAACTGTTTAATTCTAGTCATATTTTTAGGTAGATTTTTCTTTAACCTTCTATTCTTTAAGTGGTCCAAAGTTCTTGTCCTCCTTTGCTTATTCAAAACAGTATCAGAACTAAATGTCCCTGTGTCTCCATCGGGTTTGGTTCTGCGTAAAAGCTACTAACCCTGCAAGTTTAGACCTCAACAAACGTGTTCGAAAATGTCCCAGTGTGTCAGATGCCCTCCCTGTGACTTCACGGGGTCTTAAAATGTCATTTAGACCCTTACAAAATGTTCTGAAGTGCACGGGATTCTTCTTGTATTAGTTTTCGTGAGTTGTTTTCTGTTCTTTTTGACTCTATAACACTTTAAAGGTCCATTGTGTAACTTTTCTGGTGGATGGTCCGTCAAACGGTTTTATCGCTTTGTCTGGAATGTTTCGCAGTATGGTATTAAACGTTTTTATCGTCATGGAAACCAAACCAGACCAAGTTACGGGTCAGATTTGTCTGTTTTCTAAGTATTTTCGAGCTATAAAACCCCCTCCAAATTAAAAAATGTAAGGTAGAGATGTGAATTTAATCGAATTTTGATCGCGATTTCAATTTGTGTTTCGATTTGTTCTGAAATAATAAAGCTTAACAGTTTATTTTGGGATATTTTTTAGATAAATAAGCAGATTGTAAGATTGTATAACAGCTGGATTTGTAGTTTATTTTGGATGTATTTACATTTTTCTATGCCTTAATTCATGTTCAAAGTGTATTTTATCTTTTTTTTTGTTTTAAACATCGCAAAACTGCTCTAAAGTACAGATTTGGAGCCTGAATTTATTTTCAACTTGAAAGTTTTGCGTAAATGATCAATAACAAAGTGAGAGAAATGCTGAATAAATGCATCGTCTAATAATCGTTTGAATAATCGTGACTTCAATATTCACCAAAATAATCGTGATTTTGCGATGTTTTGCATAATCAAGCGGCCCTAAAGAGATGTTTAATGCCATACTGTGGAACATTTCAGGCAAAGCAGCGATAAATCCAAAAGAAACGAGCAGGTGACGGATCCTCAAAGCAGCTTTAACGTCTTTAAATCCCAAATCTAACCACAAACGTAATCGATTTTTTGTCTTTTTTTTGACAAATTTCACTACTTTAGATAATTATTTTCGAGAATAATCCCTAGACTAACCACACAGACCTGCGCAGACGTTCGAGGCACTGTTTCTTTAGTAGTCCGCTCCTCCTCGACTGGGACTAGCCCTGGCGTTCGTCGTCTTAGTCCCCAACCGTCCGAATAAACCCCACTTTGGCCGTGAACACTATTTGCAGCCCTGATAGTGATTTCAGCCGGGGTGGTGGGGGAGTCCGTGGAAGCGTTTACGAGAAGAGGGACAGACTTCGGGGGTTGCGGGGAAGGGGACGCCGAGGAGTCTCCCTGCGCGTCCAAAAAAAAAACGCTTACGATCCCACACGTTAGGCACTCCCCTCTCGGTCCAGCCTCCTTTAAGGTCCAGTGGTTACGATAAAGGCAGCGCGCGTCCGATGCTGTGAGCGTTTTGTTTTTTTTGTCCGTTTTTTTTTTTTTTTCAGTTTTTACGTTCGCTTTAAACATACCACTCCCTGCGCGAAATCACCGAGCCGTCCATGTGAGACACGTAGTCGCTGTCGGTGGCGTTGTCGTAGCAGTCCTCCGGCACGTAGGGGGAGCCGTTGCTGTGCACCGGCGGCCCACACGGGTGCATGTTGTGGTTGTTGTAATGGTTGGCGTAGTAGTTTGGATCTTTGAGGCTCCTCTGCTTCGCGTCGCCTCGGTCCGCCCACTCGTCTCGCTCTTTATACTCGGGGTAAATGATGTCCCCGCTCAGTTTCGGTTTGAGGTCCTGGCTGCCTTTGCTGGTCTTGTCGCCGTACACCTCCTGCAGCTCGTGGGGCTGGAGGACGTCGAGCTGCGCCTCCTTCTGCATGTCCGACGGGCCCAGGTACTGCTTCGTGTAGTAGTCGCCGCGGAAGGTTCGGCGCTGGCGCATGTAGCAGACGGCGCCCAGGATGAGGAGGAGGACGAGGAGCAGGACCCCGCCCACGGCCCCGCCCACGATGGTGCCCAGGGTGGAGTCGGGCGCCGGCGGCTGGGTCGGGGAGGAGATCTGGGCGCGGCGCTGGTCCACCGCCGTGCCCGCCCTCGAGGTCAGGTGGGACGGGGTGGTGGGGGCGGCGGTGGTGGGAGGCGGGTCTGTGGAAAACGAAACACAAAAGGAAAAGGTTGAGTACAAAAAAGGAAAGTTTAGTTTTGTAGTTTTGACCAGGACCGTCGACAGAATTTTGGGCCCCCCTTCCCTCCGTCGACTCGACTTAATTTTCAGATTTTGAGATTTAGGAACACATTTTGATTTGACAATTTGAAAATCTAATTTAAATACTATTTGATAAATGAGATAGAGTGCACTATGAGTCAAAAGTTTGGACACACGATCATCTACCACTTACCACAAAAACGGATAAATGTCTTTTTCCTGTTTCTGTGACAAAAACTGCAATGCTGGACTTTTGCGTCGCATACGGACTGAACCAGGACTAAAACAGGACTGAACCAGGACTAAAATAGGGCTAAAAGGACTGAAACTGATCCCAGGACTAACCAGGACTAAAATAGGGCTAAAAGAGGACTAAACAAGGACTAAATCAGGACTGATCCCAGGACTGAAACAGGACTAAACCAAGACAAAACAAGGATTAAACCAGGACTAAAATAGGGCTAAAACAGGACTGAACCAGGACTAAAACAGGACTAAAACAGGTCTAAAACAAGAATAAAGCAGGACTGATCCCAGGACTGATCTCAGGACGGAAACAAGACTAAAACAGGACTAAACAGGACTGATCCCAGGACTGAAACAGAACTAAACCAAGACTAAACCAGGACTAAAGCAGGACTGAAACAGGACTAAAGCAGGACTAAACCAGGACTAAACTAGGACTAAAACAAGACTAAACCAGGACTAAACTAGAACTGATCTCAGGATTGAACCAGGACTAACCTAGGACTAAAACTGTTACCCCTTTGAAACATGGAAAAAATGAATAACGGCCGTTTCCTGTTTCCGTGACTTAAAATTGCGATGCCGAATACGGACTGAACCAGGTCTAAACCAGGATTGAACCAGGACTGAACTAGGACTGATCCCAGGTCTAAACCAAGTCTAAACCAAGTCTAAACCAGGACTGAGTGTTGGGAGTGTTGCTCAGGACTGAGACCGGGACCAGACCGTGAAACTGAGACTGGGTGAGAGTGAGACTGGGACCAGATCGACCAGGACTGAGACCAAGATTGAGACCGGTTTAGTCTTGGTTCAGTCCTGGTTCAGTCCTGGTCCAGTCCTAAAGTCCGACATCGCAGTTTAAGTCACGGAAACTGACTTTTTTTCCCATTATTCATTTAAACACAAAATCGAAAACTGAAAAAACGAATCGCTATCTGTTTTTTCATTTTCTTATTTTTGGTTTTATTTTGAAAAACGAAGTAACGAATGGTACACAGACACAAGTCCAGATGGAAATATAAAAGAAACTACCTTGATTTACCGTCTAAATACAGCAAGTTTTTTGTCGTCGTGGTATTGCAATCGAAATAAAGTTTGAAGTTTTAGTATCGTGACAAACTCTACCTCCCTCCCTCCCACGTTTTGGATTTTTAATAAAGTAAAAGCTGACATGTCCAGGAAGAGGAAGCAGGCATGGTTCTTCGATTGGTTTATTCAGACAGGCCTCTCCTGAGAGTGTGGATCTGGGAGCAGAGGAGGAAATGAGAGAGCCAGAAGGAGGTGAAGTATAAACTGTCAGTGTGCGGACGAGCGAGGGACACACTCATTACCTCTGTCTCTGTCTCTCTCTCTCTCTTTCTACCTCTCTCCTGGTTTCCTCTGTGTCTCTCATCTCCCTGTGTGCTACTGTTCTTTCTCTCTTTCCATCTCTCCTGACTCCATCTTTCTTCCCTTATTCCTTTCACTCCCCTCTCTCTGTCTCTATCTTTCAATCTATCTCACTCTTTCTATCTCTCTGTCCTGGTTTCCTCTGTGTCTCTCATCTCCCTGTGTGTGTGCCACTGTTCTCTCTCTCTTTCTATCTCTCTTTTCTTCTTCCTTTCAGTTTCCTCTTTGTCTCTTCTCTCTCTCTATCTGTCTATCTCTCCTTCTCTCTCTCTCTTTCTATCTCTCTCTTTCTCTCATCTCCCTGTGTGTCCTGCTGTTCTTTCTCTCTTTCCATCTCTCCTGACTCTATCTTTCTTCTCTCTCTTCCTTTCACTCTCCCCTCTGTCTCTATCTTTCAATCTACCTCTCTCTTTCTTTCCTGGCTTCCTCCGTGTCTCTCTTCTCCCTGTGTGTGTGCCACTGTTCTCTCTCTCTCTCTGTCTATCTATCTTTCTCTCTCTCTCTCTTCTCTCTCTCTCTTCTCTCTCTCTCTTTCTTCTCTCTCTTCTTCTCCCTCTCTCTTTCTCTCTCTCTCTATCTCTCTCTCTCTCTTTGGTCTCTCTCCTGGCTTCCTCTGTGTCTCATCTCCCTGTGTGTGCCACTGTTCTCTCTCTCTTTCCATCTCTCATCACTCCATCTTTCTTCTCTTCTTCCTTTCAGACTCCTCTCTCTCTCTCTCCTCTCTCTTTCATCTTCTCAATCTCTCAATCTATCTATCTATCTCCCCCTTCTCTCTCTCTTTCTAACTCTTTCTCTTGATTCCATCTTTCTTCTCTTCTTCCTTTCACTCCCCTCTCTCTGTCTCTATCTTTCAATCTATCTCTCTCTTTCTTTATCTCTCTTCCTGGTTTCCTCTGTGTCTCTCATCTCCCTGTGTGTGTGCCACTGTTCTCTCTCTCTTTCTATTTCTCTTTTCTTCTTCCTTTCAGTTTCCTCTTTGTCTCTTCTCTCTCCGTCTCTCTCTCTATCTGTCTATCTCTCCTTCTCTCTCTCTCTTCTATCTCTCTCCTGGCGCTCTCTCTTTCTCTCATCTCCCTGTGTGTCCTGCTGTTCTTTCTCTCTTTCCATCTCTCCTGACTCTATCTTTCTTCTCCTCTTCCTTTCACTCTCCCCTCTGTCTCTATCTTTCAATCTACCTCTCTCTTTCTTTCCTGGCTTCCTCCGTGTCTCTCTTCTCCCTGTGTGTGTGCCACTGTTCTCTCTCTCTCTCTCTCTGTCTATCTATCTTTCTCCCCTTCTCTCTCTCTTTCTATCTACTCTCTCTTCTTCTCCCTCTCTCTTTCTCTCTCTCTCTTTCTCTCTCTCTCTCTTCTTCTCCCTCTCTCTTTCTGTCTCTCTCTTTCTGGCTTCCTCTGTGTCTCTCATCTCCCTGTGTGTGCCACTGTTCTCTCTCTCTTTCCATCTCTCATCACTCCATCTTTCTTCTCTTCTTCCTTTCAGACTCCTCTCTCTCTCTCTCTCTCTTTCAATCTCTCTATCTATCTATCTATCTATCTATCTCCCCTTCTCTCTCTTTCTAACTCTTTCTCTTGATTCCATCTTTCTTCTCTTCTTCCTTTCAGTCCCCTCTCTCTGTCTCTCTCTTTCAATCTATCTCTCTCTTTCTATCTCTCTTTCTCTTTCCTGGTTTCCTCTGTGTCTCTCTTCTCCCTGTGTGTGTGCCACTGTTCTCTCTCTCTCTCTCTGTCTGTCTATCTTTCTCCCCTTTTCTCTCTCTCTTTCTATCTACTCTCTCTTCTTCTCTCTCTCTCTCTCTCTTCTTCTCTCTCTCTTTCTCTTTCTCTCTCTCTCTCTGTCTCTCTCCTGGCTTCCTCTGTGTCTCTCATCTCCCTGTGTGTGTGCCACTGTTCTCTCTCTCTTTCCATCTCTCATCACTCCATCTTTCTTCTCTTCTTCCTTTCAGACTCCTCTCTCTCTCTCTCTCTTCAATCTTTCAATCTCTCAATCTATCTATCTCCCCTTCTCTCTCTTTCTAACTCTTTCTCTTGATTCCATCTTTCTTCTCTTCTTCCTTTCACTCCCCTCTCTCTGTCTCTATCTTTCAATCTCTCTCTCTCTTTCTATCTCTCTTTCCTGGTTTCCTCTGTGTCTCTCATCTCCCTCTGTGTGTGCCACTGTTCTCTCTCTCTCTTTCCATCTCTCCTCACTCCGTATTTCTTCTCCTCTTCCTTTCACTCTCCTCTGTCTCTGTCTTTCAATCGATCTCTCTCTTTCTATCTCTCTCCTGTCTCTCTCGTCTCCCTGTGTGTGCTGCTGTTCTCTCTTTCTTTTCTTCTTCCTTTCAGTTTCCTCCGTCTCTTCTCTCTCTCTGTCTATCTATCTCTCTCCCCTTCTCTCTCTTTCCTGGCTTCCTCTCTGTCTCTCATCTCCCTCTGTGTGTGCCACTGTTCTCTCTCTCTTTCCATCTCTCCTCACTCCATCTTTCTTCTCTTCTTCCTTTCAGACTCCTCTCTCTCTCTTTCAATCTCTCAATCTATCTCCCCTTCTCTCTCTTTCTCTTGATTCCATCTTTCTTCTCTTCCTTTCAGTCTCCTCTCTGTCTCTCTTTTCATCTCTCCTGACTCCATCTTTCTTCTCTTCTTCCTTTCAGTCTCCCCTCTCTCTCCATCTCTCCCCTTCTCTCTCTTTCTTTCTGTCTCTCTTTCCTGGCTTCCTCTGTGTCTCTCAACTCCCTCTGGGTGTGGCACTGTTCTTTCTCTTTTTCCATCTCTCCTGACACCATCTTTCTTCTTTTATTCCTTTCAGTGCACTCTCTCTCTTTCTCTCCTTCCCCTTCTCTCTCTCTCTCTCTTTCTGTCTCTCTCCTGGCTTCCTTTCTGTCTCTCATCTCCCTCCGTGTGTGGCACTGTTCTCTCTCTCTTTCCATCTTTCTTCTCTTCTTACTTTCAGTCTTCTCTCTCTATCTATCTATCTTTCTATCGCTCTCTCTCTTTTTCTATTTCTCTCTCTCTGTCTCTCATCTCCCTGTGTGTGCTGCTGTTCTTCCTCTCTTTCCATCCCTCCTGACTCTGTCTTTGCTCTCTCTCTCTCTCTCTCTCCTGACTCTTTTCTGTCTTGCTCTCTCTCTTTGCTTATTCCTTCCTTTCAATCTTTCTCTTTCTGTCTCATTTTCTGCACTCCCTCGATTTCTCTCTCTCTCCTTTTCCTCCGTGTACGCCACTTTCTCTCTTTTCTTTTCCATCTCCCTCTCTGTCTCTCTGTCTCTTTGCACTCAATCTGACTCTCTCCCTGACTCTATGTCTCTCTCTTTCTCTCTCGCCACTCC